TTAAAAAGTCCTTTGGAAAAATAAAAGTCCAAAGTGGTAGCCCATGTAACATACCACACGTATGTTATATAGCATTGATATATTTTAATAAATCTCTAATGGTATTGCTATTGCTAATCTTTTGTAAACCATATGTATACCTGTACTTCCTATACTGTATCATTATTGCGTTTGTCGAATAAATTATCTTTAAACACATATACACGTTGATATTCTTTTGCCTTCCGCGAATATCCCAGAGTACGAATGAGTTCTGTCTCTTTCGTACTCTCCTCCGTCCTGTACATCCTGCTTTAATATTTCTTATCTTCAAAAGTATGCGGTTTCATAGGAGGCTTCAATCTATTCTTGAATTTTGAAAATACTCGAAATTGCACCTGTGGAAGGCTGTATCTCGGATACGGCTGGGTTTAGGGCTTTTTCCTTCAAATTTTGAAAGATCTCTTAATGCAGAAAGTCAGAATGGTCCATAGAAGAGGCTGGTACAGGTGAAATTGCGGTAGGGCCACTTTCAAAAAATTCCTTTAGTTTTTGGAACTTGCAGTCTATTTCTAAAATTTCTGAATCTGAGTAAGTTCACTGGTTCTCTCAGAGATGGCGCCACTTATCATGTCCAGGAGGTGCTGCCCTCTTATCGGCGAAAATTCGAACTAATGCGAATTCTTTTATAAGATTTACCCATCGAAATTTCGGCGATGGCATTTTTAAAATGAATTCGGAATTATTTAAACTGAGAAAGTTCGCTCGTTCTCTCAGAGATGGCGCCACATATCATGCCCAGGAGGTGCTGCCCCCTTATCGGCGAAAATTCGAACTAATTCAAATTTTTTAATATTCATAAGTTCCGAAAAGTAAAAGAATTTTTTGAAAGTGGCCCTATCGCAATTTCACCTGTACCAGCCTCTTCTATGGACCATTCTGACTTTCTGCATTAAGAGATCTTTCAAAATTTGAAGGAAAAAGCCCTAAACCCAGCCGTATCCGAGATACAGCCTTCCACAGGTGCAATTTCGAGTATTTTCAAAATTCAAGAATAGATTGAAGCCTCCTATGAAACCGCATACTTTTGAAGATAAGAAATATTAAAGCAGGATGTACAGGACGGAGGAGAGTACGAAAGAGACAGAACTCATTCGTACTCTGGGATATTCGCATAGGGTAAAAGAATATCAACGTGTATAAGTGTTTGGATATTCGCGGAAGGCAAAAGAATATCAACGTGTATATGTGTTTAAAGATAATTTATTCGACAAACGCAATAATGATACAGTATAGGAAGTACAGGTATACATATGGTTTACAAAAGGTTAGCAATAGCAATACCATTAGAGATTCATTAAAATATATCAATGCAATATAATATACGTGTGGTATGTTATATGCGCTACCACTTCGGACTTTTTCTTTTCCGAAGAACATTTTAAAAACTTAGTTTTTAAGGATATATTAGGAGGAGAGTGATGGAGATATAGGAAGGAATAGGAGATTCGAAAAGTGTATGTGTTACAAGAGAATTTATTGGACAAATACACTAATGATACAGTATAGGAAGTACAGATATACATACACATATGGTTTACAAAAGATTAGCAATAGCAATACCATTAGAGATTCATTAAAATATATCAATGCAATATAATATACGTGTGGTATGTTATATGCGCTACCACTTCGGACTTTTTCTTTTCCGAAGAACATTTTAAAAACTTAGTTTTTAAGGATATACTAGGAGGAGAGTGATGGAGATATAGAAAGGAATAGGAGATTCGAAAAGTGTATGTGTTACAAGAGAATTTATTGGACAAATACACTAATGATACAGTATAGGAAGTACAGATATACATACACATATGGTTTACAAAAGATTAGCAATAACAATACCATTAGA